TACATACTTTGTGCATCCACAGTACTCTGCTGTTGTGAAAAAGGAGCATACTTCAGACAAGTCAATCATCTTTAAATCCCACTGATCGCAACAGGAGAAAGTTACACATGTTCTCCTCTTCCACCACAATCAATGGTGCTCAGAAGTGCATAGCTTTAAGTGAATTGTGTCCTCATTTAGTTCTCAAGGAAGCAAAGACAGTTTGCTTTATTCAAAGGAAGTAAAATATCTAATTTTCAAGAATTTCTCTGGGCTACATTATTATTATTATTATTATTATTATTATTATTATTATTATTACTACTACTACTACTACTACTACTATTTATACCCCACCCATCTGGCTGGGTTTCCCCAGCCACTCTGGGCGGCTTCCAACAAAACACTAAAAGACAGTAACCTATTAAACATTAAACGCTTCCCTAATCAGGGCTGCTTTCAGATGTCTTCTAAAGTTTGGTAGTTGTTTTTCTCTTTGACATCTGGTGGGAGGGCATTCCACAGGGCGGGTGCCACTACCGAGAAGGCCCTCTGCCTGGTTCCCTGTAACTTGGCTTCTCGCAGCGCGGGAACCGCCAGAAGGCCCTTGGTGCTGGACCTCAGTGTCCAGGCAGAATGATGGAGGTGGAGACACACCTACTGGTATACTGGACCAAGGCCGTTTTGGGCTTTAAAGTTAGCACCAACACTTTGAATTGTGCTCGGAAACGTACTGGGAGCCAGTGTAGGTCTTTCAAGACCGGTGTTATATGGTCTCGGCGGCCACTCCCAGTCACCAGTCTAGCAGCCGCATTCTGGATTAGTTGTAGTTTCCGGGTCACCTTCAAAGGTAGCCCCACATAGACCGCATTGCAGTAGTCCAAGCAAGAGCATGCACCACTCTGGCGAGACAGTCTGCAGACAGGTAGGGTCTCAGCCTGTGTACCAGATGGAGCTGATAAACAGCTACCCTGGACACAGAGTTGACCTGCGCCTCCAGACACTCACACAGGACCTTCACCACCTGCACTGGTTCCAATTTGAAAGAGAGGTAGAGCTGGGTATCATCCGCATACTTATGAACACCCAGCCCAAACCCCCTGATGATCTCTCCCAGCGGCTGCATGTAGATGTTGAAAAGCATGGGGGAAAGGACAGAACCCTGAGGCACCCCACAAGTGAGAGCCCAGGGGTCTGAACACTCACCCCCCCCCCTTTTCTGAACACGGCCTAGGAGGAAGGAGCAAAACCACTGTACAGTGGTACCTCAGGTTAAGTACTTAATTCATTCCGGAGGTCTGTACTTAACCTGAAACTGTTCTCAACCTGAAGCACCACTTTAGCTAATGGGGCCTGCTGCTGCTGCTGCGCCGCCGGGGCACAATTTCTGTTTTCATCCTGAAGCAAAGTGCTTAACCTGAAGCACTATTTCTGGGTTAACAGAGTCTGTAACCTGAAGTGTATGTAACCCGAGGTACCACTGTATAACAGTGCCCCCAGCTCCCAGCCCCTCTAGGCGGTCCAGAAGGATGTTACGGTCGATGGTGTCAAAAGCCGCTGAGCGATCCAGCAGAACTAGGAAACAGCTCTCACCTTTGTCCCTAGCCCGCCGGAGATCAGCGACCAGTGCAACCAAGGCGGTTTCAGTTCCATGATGAGGCCTGAATCCCAACTGGAAGGGATCCAAATGGTCCGCTTCTTCCAGGCGTGCCTGGAGTTGTTCGGCAACCACTCGCTCAATCACCTTGCCCAAGAATGGAAGATTTGAGACTGGGCGATAGTTGGCCATATTGGCAGCATCTAAAGATGGTTTTTAAAGAAGCGGTTTGATAACCGCCTCTTTCAGCGGGTCTGGAAAGGCTCCCTCACAGAGAGAAGCATTCACCACCCCGCGAAGCCCATCACCCAGCCCTTCCCGGTTAGCTTTTATAAGCCAGGATGGGCAAGGATCAAGGATACAGGTGGTTGGTTTCACTCGTCCAAGCAGCCTGTCCACATCCTTGGAGGTAACAGATTAGAATTGATCCCCCGCAACTTGACTAGACAGGACTGTAGCACTCTTTCGCCCCGGCCCTGCTCTCACGGTGGAGTCTACCTCTTCCCGAATCTGAGCGACTTTATCTGCAAAAAACTTTGCAAAATCATTGCAGGAGATCATGTGGCCTGTACTGGGCCCCGATGTAGCAGGTGGTTCCGCTAAATTGTGAACCACCTGAAAAAGGCTCCTGCTGTTTTCTGCAGATGCAATAGAGGCGGTGAAGAAAGTCTTCTTTGCCGTCGCTACCGCCACTTGGTAGGCTCGACATTGAGCTCTAACCCGTGTCCGGTCATCTTCAGAATGGGTTATCCGCCACCGGCGCTCTAGCTGTCTCAGTGATTGTTTCAGTGCCCTCAGATCCGTGGAAAACCACGGGCCTGTCCGGGCTCCATGCAATCGGAGAGGGCGTTTCGGAGCCAGACAGTCAATAGTCCTGGTTAACTCCACATTCCAGCAGGTCATCAGGGAATCAGCTGAAAGGCCATCAACATGGGATAAAGCATCCCCTACCACTCTCTGGAAACCATTTGGATCCATTAAGTGGTGGGGCGGACCATCCAAATCAGTCCCACCTAGTACACACATACTGCAATGTGTAACAATATGGAACTATCTGTACAGATTTTGAGCTTGGCAAAGATTATTTTCAGTTTTTAATCAAATCTGCAACATTAACCAAAACATTCAAGAAATACTAACATTGCCAGTGCTTCCAGCTTACTTGTTTGTGATAACAGTTTTAGTTTCTCGGTGTCTAAATACGAATTGGTAATATTTAGTATTTTCATCAACTGGGGTGTTTTCCAACCAGAAATGCTGATATGATTTCCAACATGCAGAGAAGCAGATTTCAAAAGATGTCAAAATATCAGTAATACAAAGGCATCCTTGAGAAGAAATGGACAGTGGGGTTGTCACTGTCAAAAAGAGGGTAAGATATGATTGGAACTTATAAAGAACAATCAGTTGCTTACTCTAACTGTAAATCTTTGCATAAACATTTGTGCAGACACAATTATGAGTTCTCTCCCTATGCAGAAACTTCTCAAACCATACTAGAGATTTGGCGGGTACCTCAATGCCAACCTCTCTGTCTAGGGGCTTAGGTCCTGCCTTCCCACTCGGCTCAAATTTTCAACCCACATAGAAGCTCTCTAGAAGGACCATGCAGAAGACATTAGATACTAAGTACCATAGTACTAAAATATGGGTGGTCATCTGGATGTGGTGGGACTAACAAAAAATCACTATTTTGAAGTAGAATAGAGTGAGTAGTGTTTCTATAGCCCAGAAAGAATATATTTTGATGGACAGAGATACAATAATCTAGCACAGTAAGCAGCCTAACTTAACTGGAAAATATGTGGAACAAATATATTACTATTCTTTAATACATGTATATATTACTATTCTTTAATACATGTATGAGAAGAATTTGCATCAGAATGAAATCAGGTCAAAAGCCATCAACAATCCTTCCCCCCAAAAAGCTCTGGGCCATCTACCCCCATTTTCTTAATTTTGAGTCCCCAAAAATAGAGGGCATCTTATACATGGGGGCGTGTTATACCCGGAAAAATACGCTAAGTCAGAAGTCCCACAATGTAATTTCCCATACCATCTCTAACCATCCACTATTATAGGCAGTCAATAATTCAAAAAGAAAGTCAGCACTATTGAACATTAAAACTCTACAGCTGCACCCAGAACCATTTTTAGACATTATTACCAGAAGAATGACCCATTAAACTCAAGCACTGCTGGACCTATGACTCACATGAAAAACTACAAACGGAAAATTTAATTTAATTAGGCCTTATTTTCTTATACTCCATAGTAAGACAAAAACATTTCCATTAATTTTGGTCACCTCTGAAGATTCCAAATGAACTTACGATGAAAGTGGCTACACAGCTGTCAAGTGCACTGTTATAAGATGCTGAGAAATGCAACCTATTATTCAGGAAGTGCTGCTAGTAAAGATTTTACATTTAAAGAAAATAATTACAACATTCTGGACAAATTAGATGGCTTGGAAGTATGCTTGCATATCAAATCAAATAATTTTTGTTCACTGCTTGAGAAGCTAGGGTATTAAGTCCATTTCCCAATATTAAAATTCAATATTCTTCAGTTATAAAGTGCTGTTGCTTCAAAAATGATATAATTCTAATTAAAAACCACTGTTCATTTCAAATCTAATTAAAACAATGTAACTGGAGAATATTCAAATTGTTGTGTAGATGTTCACTGTGTAATTCATTTTGACAGTTTTCCAATATCACATGGTTGTACATTTCAATAACAACAGATGAATAAATGCAAGAGCTCTCAAACAGTAGTGCCCAAATCACATTTAATGAGGATTTACTTTAAGATTTACTTTGATGTAAAGATACTGAGGAGCAGGCTTTTTAATGCAGTTATAAAACAGTGCCACCATGAGGAGGTGACGTGAGGCATGATTTAGAATTTGAGCTAAGCATGTACCAAACAACTTGTCTCCAAATGCTGTAGTCTACAGGAACATGTCATATGATACCTTTCTTTCCGGCTTAAATCTGAAATGTCAAATGCAATTATAGGCAATAGTTGAATCTAGAATTTCACGAGTGGAATTCTGCTCACAAAGCTGGATGCTCTTGGATCTCTGCTGCGTCCGCAGCCACTGAAAATTTGCTAGGGTTTGGGAACCCTTTAGAGCAGTGTAGGTGGCAGCAGGTTATTCCATTTCAGTTCATGGAAGCGACCACTTGGAACAAGCCCATTCCACTAACAGATTACCCCTTCTGTTCACAGGAGGCTCCTTCTGTTCATGGAAGGACATATTTTGTATTGCTAGTATTGCATTGTTGAAATGTTTTGTCATTATTTTTGTATTGTTTTGTTGTTTATATCTTAAGTCCTAAATCTAGGGGCAATTGTTTGATCCCTAGGATAAAATGGTGAGAATTCTTATGTGATTAGAAAAAGTGGTACTCACACGAGCTCCTTTTTCTGGGAAACATTCACAACCCCAACTGCAGTCTCTTCCTGCACAAGGTCCTGTATAAGACTTCCCTCCCTGAAAAATAAAACAAACATTCAAATGACAGTTAAATAGCACGGCAACAGCAAGAAAAACAACTAGTATGGCAAAACTAAAGGGAATCATAGAATCGTAGAGTTGGATGGGACTGCGAGGGTCATCCAGTCCAACCTTCTGCAACGTAGGAATCTCAGCTAAAGCCTCCATGACAGATAGCCATCCAACCTCTGCTAAAAACCTCCAAGGAAGAAAAGTCCACCATCTCCCAAGGGAGTCTGTTCCACTGCCAAACAACTCTTACCGTCAGAAAGTTCTTCCTGATGTTTAATTGGAATCACCTTTCTAGTAACTGGAAGTCATTGGTTCAAGTTCTACCCGCTAAAGCAGGAGTAAACAAGCTTGCTCCAACCTCCAGGTGACAACTCTTTAGAAATCTGAAGATGACTATATCATCTCCTCTCAGTCTCCTCTTTTCCAGGCTACACATACCCAGCTCCTTCAACCATTCCTCATAAGGCTTGGTTTCCAGAACCTTGATCATCTGGTCACCCTCCTCTGCACAACTTCCAGTTTGTCTTAAATTGTGGTGCCCAGAACTAGACATAGCATTCCAGGTGTGGCCTGACCAAGGCAGAATAGAGTGGGACTATTACTTCCCTAGAAGAACATTTTAAGTGATTATTAATGATTGGGGACTCATTAACCAATCTTAAATTGAATACCATTTACTACTTGGATGCATAGTAAATTAAAAATGACATTGAAACAAAAATGTTTTAAAGTGTGTGTGTGTGTGTGTGTGTGTTTGCCAACAAAAAAGAGAGAAGACAATTGGAAGCTGCAGCAGCCTCTGTTGCTGAATGAGAAGTGGTTAAATATTCTAAAAGAAAAGACATCACTGAAAATTTAATCAGCCTTACAAGCAGTAAAGTTATGTACCCTGTATCCCTGCTGGATACACTGGTATGAGCTACATGTGTGCTTGGAAAGAAGAGCAAGATTAAACAGAACAATATTTCTGCAGATGGGAACAAAGCTTACCATTTATGTACAAACAACTCAAAGAATGTGAAACTGCAAGTGACGCCTGAATGCTTTTCTTAGTGAAAAATGGGAGCTCATCTTATTCATCAAAAGATTTTTGTTGGAATGCAAACTTTGAAACTATGCATTGCAAAGCAAAGGACAATACATCCTTCCTCTTCCAGGTTCACATAAACCTGTTGCTCCAATGTATTATTTCTTACCTAGTATAATAGGGTTCTCAGCAAACTACAGGCAATTCTCTTAAAGCCAGTTGCAAAGATTTTAAGGTTTTTTTCAATCTAATTTTGTCAAAACAAAACATAGGCCAGTATCAATAATACAATACATACAGAGATGTACCATGTCTATATTTAACTGCTCTTTGCTTACATATCTATGATTGTCCCATCTGCTTAACTCAGAAAGGTCCTAAGACGAATTACATCATTAGCTTCACACAACAGGAAACTAGGAAGTCTGGACACTCTTCCCTACATGGTGCTTTGAGACAGGTCTATTTATAAACTACTTTGCATCTGACTATTGTAGTTCACCCACCTGCACAATTTGGCTATTCTATGGAGTTTTCAGTTTTCACATATAATTTACAATTCATTTGCTCTTATTATGTACACATATGTACATACATACATCATACTGTACAGCCCAGATACTGTTTTTGGATGATGCAGAAATTTTCTGCAGTACTTTACTCAAAAGCTGCATAAACATTGTTTCAGAACTGCAGTGGGTCTTGCGGTTTACTTTGCAAACAAAACGTTCTTATCAAAGTACAAGCTAACATACTGAGATTATAAACATCCAAATAGTCAACTTCCTTTAGCAGACTCAAACAATATCATCTTGTCGGTTCACATCCTCTCTCATTACATTCCAAGCCGAAGTGCTTAACAGATTCAGGAAATGTCTGTTCTGGGAACAAACAGAAATATTTGAAGACCTACATTGTAGTGCACCAAAAATACTGTTGCTTGTTTGCAAACATGGTGCAAATATTACCAAAAATGTGAGCATTTCTCACTGAAATTTAGAATATCAAGAAAGTAATTATTTTTAAACAGTCACATGATCTTATTTTGGATTATTTATAGTATTATAATTATGTAGATATGCTTGTAGACTTAGGGCATGTGACTCAGAAAGTAGCTGTCATTCCCCCCTGCTGTGTTTCAAGCTGTGTTTTAAGTTGCTGTACATGAAAGGGAATTTCCAATCTCTCTATATCCTTTTAGGACTCAATTTAGGACTCCATTTTGTTTGCTAAAACCAGTGCTATTTTTCTAGAAAAAGAGGTGCCAGAACTCACCATGAAACTCCCTTGTTCTCTTATAATGGTGCGGACTCCCGCTGCGCTTCGGGGGCTTCAGGCAGCTACCCGCAAGCCTTCGGAGCGCAGCAGGAGTCCCCGCTGCGCTCCGAAGGCTTGTGGATACCCGCCTGAAGCCTGGAGAGCAAGAGGGGTCGGTGCACACCGATCCCTCTTGCTCTCCAGGCTTCACTTTGCTAGAAAGGTGCTGCACAGTTTTCCCTCTCTGCGCAGCGCCCCTTCAGGGAAGCGGGAGGAGAAATGGAAGGGGCTCCTTTTCTCCTGCCGCTTCTCTGAAGGGGCGCTGAGCAGAGAGGGGGAGAAATTTCCCCCCCCTGTTCTCTCCCTCCTATGGTCCGGTGCGCCCTATAGAGCGAAAAATATGGTGCTGGGCGGTTGTCACCTTGAGGAGCAGACAGAGAAGGCAGTGGTGGCTGGCAGCAATTCTCAATGGCAAGAAATAGCTTGCCATCCCAAGCATTATCCAGGACTACGGATGGATGGATGGATGGATACTCAGTTTCTTAAAGTGAGCGCTTTGTTTTTTTAATGAAACAAACCAGGAGACCCCAGCAGAACGCCTTGTGCAAAGTGCTTCTAGGTTTGGCGGCTGTTGTTTTTAAGCGCATGTTGTAGGGGAAAAGGGAAATGATGGCCAGCACGTTTAGCGCCTGTGCCTTTCTCTCTCTGTTTCTCATCCGAAAGGGGAAGGAGCAGGAGGCAGAGAGAGCAGTCTCTCTCTAACCGGCCAGGATGATGGCGAAAAGAAATACTGCCGTTGCCACCGCCCCATTCATATGCTCCCCTCCCCGGGACCCCACGACAGACGAGCGCATGAGAGGGGAGCATATGAATGGGGGTGGGGGCGGCGGTATTTCTTTTAGACATCATCCTGGCTGCTTAGAGAGAGACTGCTCTCCCTGCTTCCTGCATTCCGGGGGGGGGGGGTCTGCTGTGATGGTACCCTGCCAGAATAGTGGTGCCGTGGGCGGCCCGCTGCCTCCGCAAGCCCGTTCCTCCGCCAGTGGAGAGAAGGTGAAATGAGTGTCTAGCAGCTCCCCTCTAGGGCCCAGAGGAAGAGTGTGTGGACCCCGGAAAAGCTGATCAATCACCAAATGATTTACATCTGTGGAATATATTGAATTTCAATTGCTACATATATTTGCAAACAGTATGCATAATAACCTGACAACTCAGGAATTTACTGCGTCATAGAACTTCAAACGGTAGACTTGGACAACAGCCCAGACTGCAAGATAACAGTAAGCCACGAAATGCTGCGCTGGCAACAGACAAGGGAAATACACACATACACAAACTAAGCTGTGCTTGTCAGATTAAAGGATACATGACTGTTCAACATGACTGAGAATTGATTAGCCAGGGACTGGAGACTTTGAGAGTTTAAGATCGGAATGTGGAAGTTATGAGAATCACAAGAAGGCAGAAATATAACTATGTGAGATGATTCTTCAGAGATCCGGAATATGGGAAGTCTGTTTGAAATTTAATAATTAATAATTTGGATTATATTTTGTTTTTGTTTTGTTTTTTCTTGAATTGGATTATGATTTGATCTGATTTGTTATTAATTGGATGTTCTTAATGGAATTTTTTTTTTTTAAAGAGAGAGTTGCAGTTTTAATCTGAAATCTTAGGTGCAGTACTGGGCGCACAACTCAGAAACTGCTTGCGCTGATGAAAATCCCTGTTGCAAAATGTGCCCAGAACAATGGGAGTTTTGAACACTGTTGTTGTGGTTGTTGTTGTTGCTGCTGCTATTATTAATTAATTAAATTTATATACCGCCCTATACCCACAGGGATTCATATACTTAATTCCTCACATAAGGTTATGAGCCCAGAGGGAATTAAATCATAGAAAGTGGAAGGTTTTGTGGTGATTCCAGTGATAAATGTTTTACGGAGTTTTTCAGCTTTTGAGGCTCCCCCAGCCCCCTCCGAAACCAGGGAGAAGCTTCCTAGGCAAGAAAATAAAATGTACTGAAGAGGTAAAAACTTAACTATACAAAATGCAGTTTGGAGGTTTATAATAGATCTTATAACAGACCTTGCAGTTTTTGCTGTCACCTGATCATTGTGATCTGCTAAAAGAAAAGACACAATAGCAATGGTTGGGTGACCTGGTATGGACAGTAGTAGAGGGGTAATAACCTCATTCCTCAAGTGGCAAGGCAAAGTTTCATTTTTGAAAAGCTTTTTGGCAGTTTTTCATTTTATTTTTGCCATTTCTCTGTCAGCATTTTTGTTCTTTTTTGGGAATTTTTCTGTTTTTGATTTTTCAAATGGATAGCAAGAATTTAATCAGCCTAATGGCTATAGGACTAACTTAGTTGTATTTGAGGTTGGTTGGTTTTAAAAACAATCAAATGGTAAATAAATGTTAAGAAATAAATAAATCTTAAACTTGCAAAAGATTATGGGTGCAACACTGAAGATTCTATTTGCAAAGCACAACCTATTTTAATAGCTCATTTAGATAGATAGTTTTAATTATATCACTGTTTAATAACTTTCCCCCCATGTTTTTAGCTGCTTGTTTTATCTGTAAGCCACCTTGAGTCCCATTTCAGGCAAAAGACAGAATACTGTATAAATGAAGAATTAGAGCCAGTGTGGTGTAGTGGTTAAGAGCGGTAGTCTTGTAATCTGGTGAACCGGGT